AGGCGACGTCAGCATGGTGACGAGAGTGATGAGGACATGGACGCAGACTTCTCTCAAAGCACGGGCCCTGGCAATGTGGGCATCATGGTGCTAATGGGGCAGGTTCATGCGGTGGAACACCGATTCTGGGCCCAGGAAACAAGCACAGAGTGGTGGGACCACATAGTGTTGCATCTCTGGGACAATTCCCAGTGGCTGCAAAACTTTCGCTTGCGTAAGGGCTCTTTCTTGGAACTTTGACTTACTTTCCCCTGCCCTGAAGCGCATGTATACCAAGATGAGAGCAACGCTCACAGTTGAGAAGTGAGTGGCAATAGCCCTGTGGAAGCTTGCAATGCCAGACAGCTACCAGTCAGTCAGGAATCAATTTGGAGTGGACAAATCTACTGTGGGGGCTGCTGTGATGCAAGTAGCCAACACAATCAAAGATTTGCTGATATCAAGGGTAGTGACCCTGGGAAATGTGCAGGTCATAGTGGATGGCTTTGCTGCAATGCGATTCCCTAACTGTGATGGCGCCATAGACGGAACCCATATTCCTGTCTTGGCACCGGAGCACCAAGCCGGCGAGTACATAAACCACAAGAGGTACTTTTCGATAGTGCTGCAAGCACTGGTGGATCACAAGGGACGTTTCACCAACATCAACATAGGATGGCCGGGAAAGGTACATGACGCTCGCATCTTCAGGAACTCTGGTCTGTTTCAAAAGCTGCAGGAAGGGACTTTATTCCCAGACCAGAAAATAACCACTGGGGATGTTGAAATGGCTATAGTTATCCTTGGGGACCCAGCCTACCCCTTAATGCCATGGCTCATGAAGCCGTACACAGGCAGCCTGGACAGTAGTCAGGAGCTGTTCAACTACAGGCTGAGCAAGTGCAGAATGGTGGTAGAATGTGCATTTGGACGTTTAAAAGCACGCTGGCGCAGTTTACTGACTCGGTTAGACCTCAGCGAAACCAATATTCCCACTGTTATTACTGCTTGCTGTGTGCTCCACAATCTCTGTGAGAGTAAGGGGGAGACATTTATGGCGGGGTGGGAGGTTGAGGCAAATCACCTAGCTGCTGGTTACGCGCAGCCAGACACCAGGGCAGTTAGAAGAGCACAGGAGGGCGTGGTACGCATCGGAGAAGCTTTGAAAACCAGTTTCATGACTGGCCAGGCTACGGTGTGAAAGTTCTGTTTGTTTCTCCTTGATGGAAACCCCCTCCCCCGCCCCTTGGTTCACTCTACTTCCCTGTAAGCTAACCATCCTTCCCTCCTCCCTTCAATCACCGCTTGCAGAGACAATAAAGTCATTGTTGCTTCACATTCATGCATTCTTTATTAATTCATCACACAAATAGGGGGATAACTGCCAAGGTTGCCCAGGAGGGGTGGTGGAAGAGGGAAGGACAAGGCCACACAGCACTTTAAAAGTTTAAAACTTTAAAACTTATTGAATGCCAGCCTTCTGTTGCTTGGGCAATCCTCTGGGGTGGAGTGGCTGGGTGGCCGGAGTGCCCCCCACCGCGTTCTCGGACATCTGGGTGAGGAGGCTATGGAACTTGGGGAGGAGGGCGGTTGGTTACACAGGGGCTGTAGTGGCGGTCTGTGCTCCAGCTGCCTTTCCTGCAGCTCAACCATATGCTGGAGCATATTAATTTGATTCTCCAGCAGCCTCAGCACTGAATCCTGCCTCCTCTCATCACACTGCCACCACCTGTCAGCTTCAGCCCGCCACTTACTCTCTTCAGCCTGCCACCTCTCGTCCCGATCATTTTGTGCTTTTCTGCACTCTGACATTGTCTGCCGCCATGCATTTGTCTGTGCTCTGTCAGTGTGGGAGGACAGCATGAGCTCAGAGAACATTTCATTGCGAGTGTGTTTTTTTCACCTTCTAATCTTCACTAGCCTCTGGGAAGGAGAAGATCCTGTGATCCTTGAAACACACGCAGCTGGTGGAGGGGAAAAAAAGGGACAGTGGTATTTAAAAAGACACATTTTATAGAACAATGGGTACACTCTTTCAGGGTAAACCTTGCTGTTAACATTACATACATAGCACATGTGCTTTCGTTCCAAGGTCTCATTTTGCCTCCCTCCACCACGTGACTACCCCCTCAACCCTCCCCTTGGCTAATAGCGGGGAACATTCCTGTTCAGCCACAGGCAAACAGCCCAGCAGGAAAGGGCACCTCTGACTGTCCCCTTAAGAAAAGCACCCTATTTCAATCAGGTGACCATGAATGATATCACTTTCCTGAGGATAACACAGAGAGATAAAGAACGGATGTTGCTTGAACGCCAGCAAATATACACTGCAATACTTTGTTCTACAATGATTCCCGAGTGCGTGCTACTGGCCTGGAGTGGTAAAGTGTCCAACCATGGTGGACGGAATAAGGCTACCTTCCCCAGAAAACTTTTGCAAAGGCTTATGGAGTACATCCAGGAGAGCCGCGAATGCCAGGGCAAATCAATCATTAAACATGCTTGCTTTTGAACCATGTATACTATTTTAAAAGGTACACTCACCAGAGGTCCCTTCTGCATCTGGCGGGTCCGGGAGGCAGCCTTAGGTGGGTTCAGGGGGTACTGGCTCCAGGTCCAGGGTGAGAAACAGTTCCTGGCCGTCGGGAAAACTGGTTTCTCTGCTTGCTTGCTGTGAGCTATCTACAACCTCATCATCATCTTCTTCCTCATCCCCAAACCCTGCTTCCGTGTTGGCTCCATCTCCATTGAAGGAGTCAAACAACATGGCTGGGGCAGTGGTGGCTGAACCCCCTAAAATGGCATGCAGCTCATCATAGAAGCAGCATGTTTGGGGCTCTGACCTGGAGAGGCCATTTGCCTCTCTGGTTTTCTGGTAGGCTTGCCTCAGCTCCTTAAGTTTCACGTGGCACTGCTTCGGGTCCCTGTTATGGCCTTTGTCCTTCATGCCCTGGGAGATTTTGACAAATGTTTTAGCATTTCAAAAACTGGAACGGAGTTCTGATCGCACGGATTCCTCTCCCCATACAGCAATCAGATCCCGTACCTCCTGTTCGGTCCATGCTGGACCTCTTTTGCGATTCTGGGACTCCATCATGGTCACCTCAGCTGATGAGCTCTGCATGGTCACCTCTGCTGATGAGCTCTGCACTCACCTGCAGCTTGCCACGCTGGCCAAACAGGAAATTGAAATTCAAAAGTTCGCGGGCCTTTTCCTGTCTCCCTGGCCAGTGCATCTGAGTTGAGAGTGCTGTCCAGAGCGGTCACAGTGGAGCACTCTGGGGTAGCTCCCAGAGGCCAATACCATCTAATTGCATCCACAGTACCCCAAATTTGACCTGGCAAGGCGATTTCAGTGCTAATACTCTTGTCGGGGGTAGAGTAAGGAAATCAATTTTAAGAGTCCTTTAAGTTTAAAAAAAAAAAAAAAGGGGCTTCATCGTGTGGACAGGTGCAGGGTTAAATCGATTTAGCGTTGCTAAATTCAATCTCAACTCCTAGTGTAGACCAGGGCTGAATGGGTAGGGTCCTGATCCTTCCACCCTGTTTGTCACTGCAGCATCTGAGTTCCACTAGGGCACTTGTTTGAATTCTCCTTGTATTTAAATTTGAAGGTTCCCAACTCTGGAATTCAATCCCCCTCTAGTGTAACAGTGCCCCAGGTCTGTTGACCTTCAGCATATAACACTGTGTCCTCCTGTTAGATGTTTGCCTGAGGGAGGGTGGATCTGAATGGGCAGGAATTGTTTTCTGGTTTGGTAATGCCCTTTTCTGTTGGCTTTTTGGGAGTAAAGGCTGATTTTCTGGAGCACAAAGTCCCAACAACTCTAATTGAAGTGCATGAAAGCTGAGGGAAGATCAGGCTCCATGTTTTTATTGCAAGCCATTTGTGTGCCCTGAGCTAAGTAAGGGATGGCACAGTTTATAAATCAATCAGTAATTCAATAAAGTAAAAAATCAGGTTATGGGCAGGGTTCCCAATCCATCTATCTGTGCTGTAATCCCTTGCTGTGATCTATTTTCCTGGGCCTAGCTTGATAAAAATAGCAGGATAAATTCCACACATTACCACAGTGTGGAAGCTAATGGCTTGCTAACCACAAAACAACATGTTTTAGGAGTTTCAGAGTAACAGCCATGTTAGTCTATATTCGCAAGAAGAAAAGGAGTACTTGTGACACCTTAGAGACTAACCAATTTATTTGAGCATAAGCTTTCGTGAGCTACAGCTCACTTGCATCCGATGAAGTGAGCTGTAGCTCACGAAAGCTTACGTTCTAGGAGTGCTTATGATTATGCACAAAATCCAGCAATCTCTGATGCAGTATGGGAAAGAGTTGCTTCCAGATGGAAATCTTGATTGCAATATGAGTTTTGCTTGAGTAACGATGGCTGGCTGGACTTGACCCTATGGGTCAAATCCTGGCTCCTTTGAAGTCAATACTAAAACTCTCATTGACTTCAGTGGATTCAGGATTTCACCCCTATATCTTTAACATCCTGGATCCAGTTTACAAACATTGAGTTCATTTGAAAGCTTTTATGTGCCCAGTATCCCAATTTAGCTAACGTTAAGTTAACGTTGTGTGCCCAATTAACTAACTTAGGTTTGTAAATCACTATGCATTAGAAACAAGGCTCACGTGAACAAGGCTCACGTCTCTAAAATAAAAATGTTCTTTTGTTCTGCAAAATTAAAGCATCTCAAGCTATTCAGTGTTCTTGGAAAGCCACAGAAATATTTCATGGTCCAGCGTCGAACAATTCCTGACATTTCAGACTTAACCAACTGCCAGACCCTTAATTTCCCCCCCACGAAAAAGAAATGTACAAAGTTTTTAAAATCACATTGGACGTTTTTGGAGGGTAAAAACCCTCTGCAATTTATGATAAAAGCAAACAGGCCCAGTAAACTGTTTAACTGTAGATGACCCAAGTCTAAAAACAAAGCTGAAAGGCATCTTCTTTGTTCTTACCTGCTATTTCCCTGACACACTTTTTTAATCTATACAACCCCTTACCTTGCAGCAAGAAAAGTAACGTCCTGATGAACTCCATCTTCTCCCTTAGTAAAACAGGAGAGTGCACGCTCCGTGAAGGCTGCTTGCTTCCTGTGGCACGTATTTCCAGTAACAGAAAGGAGTAAAGCAACAAAAAGAACTCGCTATGCTTGAGGTTCTCTATCAGTTCCTTTCTCTCTCTACAAATGGTATGCAGCCTTTTATAGGAGGCTTTAAAACATATTGGACCAAATTCATCCCAGGCGTAACCTTGTTGTGAGGTTGCACCTGGACTGAATTATTTTCTTTCTTTATTTAGATTTCTGTCTTATGTGAACCCCACATCAAAGAGCACTCCGCCCCCACCATCCAAAGCTCTGGGTGCTTTAGACATACCGTTAAAAACACGGGAGATGCAAAGTAAAAACCAACCCAAAGCAGCAGTACTTGTTCCACTTAATGTACAAAACGAAACTGCAGAAAAACCTGAGTGTCTCTGCATTAAGTTTAGAAGTGTGTGCAACAAGAGTGATGTAGTGGTGGGAGTCTGCTATAGACCACCGGACCAGGGGGATGAGGTAGATGAGGCTTTCTTCCGGCAGCTCACGGAAGCTACTAGATCGCATGCCCTGATTCTCATGGGTGACTTTAATTTTCCTGATATCTGCTGGGAGAGCAATACAGCGGTGCATAGACAATCCAGGAAGTTTTTGGAAAGCGTAGGGGACAATTTCCTGGCGCAAGTGCTAGAGGAGCCAACTAGGGGGGGCACTTTTCTTGACCTGCTGCTCACAAACCGGGTAGAATTAGTGGGGGAAGCAAAAGTGGATGGGAATCTGGGCGGCAGTGACCATGAGTTGGTTGAGTTCAGGATCCTGACACAGGGAAGAAAGGTAAGCAGCAGGATACGGACCCTGGACTTCAGGAAAGCAGACTTCGACTCCCTCAGGGAACGGATGGCCAGGATCCCCTGGGGGACTAACTTGAAGAGGAAAGGAGTCCAGGAGAGCTGGCTGTATTTCAAGGAATCCCTGTTGAGGTTACAGGGACAAACCATCCCAATGAGTCGAAAGAATAGTAAATATGGCAGGCGACCAACTTGGCTTAATGGTGAAATCCTAGCGGATCTTAAACATAAAAAAGAAGCTTACAAGAAGTGGAAGGTTGGACATATGACCAGGGAAGAGTATAAAAATATTGCTCGGGCATGTAGGAATGATATCAGGAGGGCCAAATCGCACCTGGAGCTGCAGCTAGCCAGAGATGTCAAGAGTAACAAGAAGGGTTTCTTCAGGTATGTTGGCAACAAGAAGAAAGCCAAGGAAAGTGTGGGCCCCTTACTGAATGAGGGAGGCAACCTAGTGACAGAGGATGTGGAAAAAGCTAATGTACTCAATGCTTTTTTTTGCCTCTGTTTTCACTAACAAGGTCAGCTCCCAGACTGCTGCGCTGGGCATCGCAAAATGGGGAAGAGATGGCCAGCCCTCTGTGGAGATAGAGGTGGTTAGGGACTATTTAGAAAAGCTGGACGTGCACAAGTCCATGGGGCCGGACGAGTTGCATCCGAGAGTGCTGAAGGAATTGGCGGCTGTGATTGCAGAGCCATTGGCCATTATCTTTGAAAACTCGTGGCGAACGGGGGAAGTCCCGGATGACTGGAAAAAGGCTAATGTAGTGCCAATCTTTAAAAAAGGGAAGAAGGAGGATCCTGGGAACTACAGGCCAGTCAGCCTCACCTCAGTCCCTGGAAAAATCATGGAGCAGGTCCTCAAAGAATCAATCCTGAAGCACTTGCATGAGAGGAAAGTGATCAGGAACAGCCAGCATGGATTCACCAAGGGAAGGTCATGCCTGACTAATCTAATCGCCTTTTATGATGAGATTACTGGTTCTGTGGATGAAGGGAAAGCAGTGGATGTATTGTTTCTTGACTTTAGCAAAGCTTTTGACACGGTCTCCCACAGTATTCTTGTCAGCAAGTTAAGGAAGTATGGGCTGGATGAATGCACCTTAAGGTGGGTAGAAAGCTGGCTAGATTGTCGGGCTCAACGGGTAGTGATCAATGGCTCCATGTCTAGTTGGCAGCCGGTATCAAGTGGAGTGCCCCAAGGGTCGGTCCTGGGGCCGGTTTTGTTCAATATCTTCATAAATGATCTGGAGGATGGTGTGGATTGCACTCTCAGCAAATTTGCGGATGATACTAAACTGGGAGGAGTGGTAGGTACGCTGGAGGGGAGGGATAGGATACAGAAGGACCTAGACAAATTGGAGGATTGGGCCAAAAGAAATCTGATGAGGTTCAATAAGGATAAGTGCAGGGTCCTGCACTTAGGACGGAAGAACCCAATGCACAGCTACAGACTAGGGACCGAATGGCTAGGCAGCAGTTCTGCGGAAAAGGACCTAGGGGTGACAGTGGACGAGAAGCTGGATATGAGTCAGCAGTGTGCCCTTGTTGCCAAGAAGGCCAATGGCATTTTGGGATGTATAAGTAGGGGCATAGCGAGCAGATCGAGGGACGTGATCGTTCCCCTCTATTCGACATTGGTGAGGCCTCATCTGGAGTACTGTGTCCAGTTTTGGGCCCCACACTTCAAGAAGGATGTGGATAAATTGGAGAGAGTCCAGCGAAGGGCAACAAAAATGATTCGGGGTCTGGAACACATGAGTTATGAGGAGAGGCTGAGGGAGCTGGGATTGTTTAGCCTGCAGAAGAGAAGAATGAGGGGGGATTTGATAGCTGCTTTCAACTACCTGAAAGGGGGTTCCAAAGAGGATGGCTCTAGACTGTTCTCAATGGTAGCAGATGACAGAACGAGGAGTAATGGTCTCAAGTTGCAGTGGGGGAGGTTTAGATTGGATATTAGGAAAAACTTTTTCACTAAGAGGGTGGTGAAACACTGGAATGCGTTACCTAGGGAGGTGGTAGAATCTCCTTCCTTAGAGGTTTTTAAGGTCAGGCTTGACAAAGCCCTGGCTGGGATGATTTAACTGGGAATTGGTCCTGCTTCGAGCAGGGGGTTGGACTAGATGACCTTCTGGGGTCCCTTCCAACCCTGATATTCTATGATTCTATGATTCTATGTATGTCATTTGATCACCAGTCCTATCACCAATGCAGCTTAAACCTTCCTTTACACCCCAAGCTTGTCTACACGGGGGAAAAGCCCAGAGTAGCGGCTGTGCACTAGCTAGTGTTCACTAGCTACTCTGTGTGGACGCAAAAAGAAAAGGAGTACTTGTGGCACCTTAGAGACTAACCAATTTATTTGAGCATGAGCTTTCGTGAGCTACAGCTCACTTCATCGGATGCATCTGCTGTAGCTCACGAAAGCTCATGCTCAAATAAATTGGTTAGTCTCTAAGGTGTCACAAGTACTCCTTTTCTTTTTGCGAATACAGACTAACACGGCTGTTACTCTGAAATCTGTGTGGACACTCCACCTGCCCGCTAACAGTGCCCTCAGCAAGCCCAAAGTTAAGCTAACGCACACAAAGGCACTCTGAGTCAAAGGAAGTTGCAGCATGTGTAGACATACCTGAGCTAGCTTTGATCGGGCTAGCTCCAGTAACACCCACAAAAGCACGGGTGGCAGCATGGGCTGCAAAAGCCCATCCAGGACTCTGGATGTGTATTCGAGTGACTAGCTCCAGCTGCACCCTGTGCTGCCGTGGCTTCACTGCTATTGTTTTTGGAGCTAGCTAGAGATCTATTTTGGGTATGGCTACCCATGCTGCAGTGACACCTCCTCAGTGTAGACATACCCGTAGAGTCGGGCCAATTATGTTTAGCATAACCAATATGGCATGAGCTTATTTCAACCCTACTTGAACTGCCGGAGTCCCAGAGTTCAGGCTGACCTTGGATGTTACTGCTTTCATGTTCTGCTTGAGCAAGAGGGTGGGAAAGGGAGTGCCAAGGGGAAGTGAGAGAGGCAATCTGGTGGGAAAAAACGATGAGTAAAGCTGGAGAAGAGAGTGAGGGAGGGTGAAAAAACAAAGGGAAGGAGCCTGGATACAGAGAGAAAACTCTTGCTTTCCACCGGTCCTTCGGGCTAAGGTGCAGAGGGTTTGCGGAGGGAGGCAGCCTCACTTTCCTGCTGTCCTTCTTGGAACTCTGCCATGGTTCCCAGTCTCCAGGGCTGTCTGCCCAATACCTTTCAGCAGCACATTATTAAAATAAAGAAATGTAGCATCACTGACCTCTGCTCACTGAAGGAATTAATAGAGTGATACATGAGTGGCCCATAGCAGGCACACCCTTCCTTTTACCAATATGTATATCCCTTTTATAGGTTGTGAGAACCCAGCCAGTGTTACTTAAAAAAAAAATCCAGCCTATTTTTGCTTATAGTATGTGGTACAATAATACAGGAAGCGTTCATGCATCTCCAGGCAGGTGGTGTGAGGCAGGGTTTGCCCCTTTGGCTAGCTTCAGTGTTATCGCTATCAACGTCCCCTACTACTAGCCGAGCAACGCTCTCGTGCTTCCTCCCAGCTCTGATGACAAACCACAGTGGCTTTCTTTGAAGCAGGCGGATGGCGAGGTCAGGAAATAACACTGCCTGGAGGGTGTCGTCATGGAACATTTTCTTGAACATGAAGACTATGGGCCTGATTTTCTTCCTGTTTACACCAGTTTCACATCATGCCAATGCCACTGACTTCAGGGCAGTGACGTCCCCTTGTTTACACTGGTGTTACTGAGAGGAGAGTCAGACCCAATAAACCTGAATCAAAGCCCATCATAGTCATTGGAAAGACTCCCATTGACTCCAATGGACTTTGGGTCAGGACCCATGTTCAAAATGTCTGAGTGTGGTTTAAAACTCTTCACTTCTCCTTTTTCTCCCACTCTGCGTCATGCCTCTTCTCCCTGAAACAGACTCCCACTTTCCATATGTCAAGTACCCCCCGCTTCTTAAAACCCTCCATGAAACTTTCCGACATTTTCCCTTGAACCTTCTCACGTGTGAACCACTGTCCCATGTTTTGTATTTGTCTATGTTTGGTTGGAACCTCGTTACAGCAAAGGCCCTCTCTAATGTCTTCAGCAAAGTTCAATGCATTTATTCACCGCTCTGTGCAATGACAGTGCCTTAGGCAGCTGATTTGCTGAGACCACCTGTTTTTCATGCTGACCAGTTTTGTCTCATTGTTACTTTGTTCCCCTGTCTGTCTCCACTTCTTGTCTCACCTCATATACTCAGACCATAAGCTCTTTGAGGAACCTGACCCCTGACTGTGGTCCCTAGGAGTGCTGTCATGGAAAAAATAGTTAATGTATAAAACTTTTAAGAGTTCACAAATAAGGCAATAAGAGAACAGGTTGGTTAGAGAAGTACAAGGATCTGGCACTAACCAAAGGACTCAGACTTGTTTGTGCGTTGTGCTATTTTTTATTAATTTTTCCCGTGGCTTTTCCAAGTATCAGAAGCAGCACAGGAACCAGCACACAGGCCCCCAGATGCTGCAGTGAGCATGAAATAATTCGAAATGTCTCAAATACAAGGTCTTTTTGCCCTAAACTTGCTGCCGCCCCAGCTGCCCTTCACTGAGATTTGACGGGAGCCTGTGTCAACAGATTGATGGCTGGTCAAGTGTGTTTTTTGTACCAAACGCTATGGAATGAGGAAGGTCAGTATTCCTGTCTCAGGATCCTAACCAGATCTTTTGGTTTTCTGGATGAAGGATTCTATTGATAGCAGGTGTGCAGCTGTTTGTTCCCTCTGCTTTAGCCCATCTCCATATCTGAGACAGCCACTGGAGTTTACCTGACAGTCAGTGCCGGTGGCCTGTTACCCTGATGATCTCAGAAGGGAGACGTGAAGCCCCACCAGAGGGGATCCTGGCACCTAGAAGTGAGGATGGCAAGAGATAAGGGTTTAATCTGGGTCAGATTTTCTTCCTCAAACCAGCTCCTTTGCACCGTGCAAGGGGCATAAAGAAGCCTGAACCGGGCCAGATGAGAACCCCCTTGGTGAAAAGCCAGGCACCTCCTGTGATGGTGCCCCCCATAGGGCTTTATGGAAATATGCTTATGAATATATATGACATAACTGGAAGATGTTCTATGCTACATATGCCATGTAACATATCTATGTAAAGGGTATGATCTACTGAATCTATTAATCCTATTTGCATGTATCATTTTTGTGTTCAAAGTTATGAATATTGGCCATGTATTGGCTTGAGTTCTAAATAACCTTAGTTGAGCATTTGGTCAGTTCCTGGAGAAAGGAATTCGCCAAGTTAAGTGCCCAGTCAAGAAGCACTTAAGGAACAATGCATCTTGGAAGGCTCCAATCCACATAAGAAGTCTTCCTGGAGACATTCAAGATGCCACGTGGCTGCTGCCTGTAAAACTGTGAGTCATGCATGGACATGTGACTTGTCCAGGTGACTCCAGAACTCCATCTTGGAGCTGGACTTTTCATAGGAGAGAGGAGGGGGTCTCCACCTACAAGAGAAAGTCTATTTAAGCCCATGGGAGACCTCTCCATTTGGTCTTCATCTGGCTAAGGAGATAGCCTCTCCACCCCCAAGGATACCTGAAAGAAACTGGAACAAAAGACAGTAACTACAGGGGGTGTGAGTGATTGCTGGACCTGGACTAAAAGGAGATTAGTCTGTAAAAGGAAGCTTACTGGAACTGGTGAGGTTTTGTCTGTATTCAGTTTTATTAGACATAGACTTGCGGGTTTTATTTTATTTTGCTGGGTAATGCACTTTGTTCTGTCTGTTACTACTTGGAACCACTTGGATCCTACTTTCTGTATTTAATAAAATCACTTTTTACTTATTAATTAGCCCAGAGTATGTATTAATACCTGGTGGGGGCGGGGGAGACAAACAGCTGTGCATATCTCTCTATCAGCGTTATAGAGGGTGAACAATTTATGAGTTTACCTGTAAATTTATTTAGGGTTTGGACCCCATTGGGAGTTGGGCATCTGAGTGTCAAAGACAAGAACACTTCTGTAAGCTGCTTTCAGTTAAGCCTACAGCTGTTAGGGGACGTGGTTCAGACCTGGGTCTGGGTTTGCAGCAGGCTAGCGGGTCTGGCTCAAACTAGGCAGGGCACTGAAGTCCTAAGCTGCCAGGGCAGGAAAGCAGGAGCAGAAGTAGTCTTGACACATCAGGTGGCAGCTCCCAAGGGGCTTTCTGTGATCCAACCCATCACACCTCCATTTTCTGTGCCTATAATCACCCATCCCTTGTGTAGGGGAAGTGCTGGGGACAGGAGAGGATGGGCAGCTGAGCACAGTTGTGCTCTACCAATTCTCAGTTGGTGTACGGTTCCTTGGGGACCATAGCCAGCTGGTTTTGAGTCAGGTTAGTGCAGCCCCTGGGAGGGACATAGGAGGTCTTGATCTGAGTGTTCTTGACACCTAGAAGACAGACCAGCAAGAGAAAAGAGTTAGATGCCAATCTTTCTAATCCCCCTGTGCTGCTGTAATTTACACTGAGATCTTGACTGGCTCCCAGACAATCCCCATCCTTACTCCACTATAATGAGCAGATCCCATCCCAGGAGAGAATCTAGCCCTATATGTATATGTTACAGTATGGTATAAGTGTACCTGGTGTCTCCAGAGGCTTCTGGTTTTGAGTGACGAAAACTAGGAGATAATCCCAAATCCCAAGTGTTTTTTATCCCTCGCCAGCCCCTTGCAAAAATGTGCCCCTCCCCATGGCATTCACTCCAGGTGGTATCAGAAATTGAACAGAATAACTGATCTGCTAAAATACAATCATATTCTTTATTGGTTGTGAAGAAAAAACAATTCCAGGCTACTTGTCCGGCCTACAGGTACTGCCTTATCGATTAAAACGCTCACAGGAATCAAAAGAGAGACTCACATTGTTCTAAAATATTTCCTGGTGCTTTAAAATCAAATGAGATGTGAATCTTAAATGTATCCTTAGGTCACTGCCATCCTTGGGGCTTGGTGAACTCCAAAAGGTGTGAGCCCAGCCTGCAGGAGAGCAAAGGCATTAGACCTTTATTGCTATTTCACCTCAAATCTGCTTGAAATGAGATCCTTTGCCCTAAAAAAAAAGGGGGGGAATCAAACTTCTGAGGGTTCAGCTTCCCCAAGGCAACTTATTTTTGACCAGAAGATTCTTATTATATCACCGCTCACAACCTCATTACAAATCTTTGAGGAACTGAAAGATCTAGATGTAGCAAAATGTTTGACAGTAAGAAATAGTGCAACTTGCAGATCTGTTGTTCACTGATTCAGAACACAGGATCCTTTTCAATCATTATTGCTTTTTGCTTGTACCATCTTCAGGAGCAATTGTACTGGGACAGTCGAGGAACTTGTTAAGCCTGTCCTTGGGCTACTTTGTTCGCTTGAAGCAGGAATGTGGTGTAAGCAAGATCAGCCTCCTCCTTGGAACCCTGAGTAAAAGGAGAGGAGAGCTTGCTTTATTTCCAAATTTTTCTCATATCATAAAGACACTTTGCACTTGTCAAGTGACTTTCAGCTAAGGATCTCAAAGAAATTTACTAACAGGTTAATTCAAAGATACTAGAAGAGCATTCTTCATAAGAACTTTGAAACTTGTTCCCTATTCTCACCACCTTGGTCCAAAATAGCCCAAACGTGGCCTTCTGGCAATGCTGCAAAAGCCTATTTATTCTATAACAATTTGGGGGGCAAGTTCCTAAAGGTGTAAGGGGCTTTTCTGATGCTTTGATTTACTGTTTGGGCTCCTGGCACCATTAATTGTTAGGGCACCTAGAACTGTTTGTTGTGGACTTTTTTTTAATAGTTGTTGACAGCTTGAGGAACAATAATCCGTAACTAAGCCTTACAGCACTCCTGTGGGATGTGAGCATATCTTTATCTCATTTTACAGCTGGTTAAAGTGACTTGCCTGCAATCACACACAAAGTCAGGAGTAGACTTTGCAATAAAACAAGGGAATCCAGACTTCTAGTTCTCCCACTCAAACCACCATACAGCACTCCTTCCTGGCATTAGAGAACTACTTGGTTTAACAGAGAAGAACCCGAAAGCAGCTGGATCACTGTGGCAGGCTCACAGCTCCTATTGATCCAGTAATCTGGCAGTTTTGGATTTATCAGTCTCCTCGCCCAGACTCAGGCTTCCAGAACAATAACACCTGCTAATATTTCCAGCGGAACTGAAACCATGAATCAAAGCTAAGTGACTGCTGTTGAGTTCTATGCTCTAATGATGTAGGTGCAGCAAAGGGTTAGAAACTCCAGTGGAGAGGCTGCAGGTGTGATGCTGAATAGGCTGCTAATTGAGAAGTAGTTGACCATAAATAGGGCATACAGGGGGGAAAGGAGCTTTTGCTGCTGAAGCTCTGCTGCCTGAAAGAAAGACTAGGCTGTATGCAGCACTTTGGGTTATACATTCTAGCGGTTCTTACCCTTTTCACCTTCGGTGGTTCTTCTGCACCTTCAGCATTGCCAGGGGTAGTTATAAATTCTGAAAAGCATCGGAGATGTTAGGGTACTCTGCATGGGAGATCGTGCACTGTAGGCCAAGCCCCACTTATTCAGTAACTCCTACATGCACTAAACTGCTGCTGATGTTCAAGGTACAACTTCTTCTCTGGGATGGATGTCAGGCTGAAGTACTAGTACCGTAAAGCTTTTGCAAACGCAGCCACGACACTTCCTTTCCCATGAGCCAACTGTGCTGCATCTGCATTACGTGCTAAGCATCCCTGCGTATTGAGCCAGGAAGCCTCTAGATTTCTAGGGTAGAACAAACATCTTTGTGTTTCTTTAAAACAAGTTGTATTTTCTGTTTCCAAAGATGGCAATCACCAGTGAGACAATTGCCCACACACTCAGTTTGGCATTTAATATTGTAAGCACTTCTGGGAGAATCTGTTTTATATTTAGCCCAGTGTAGAAACCATCCATTTTGCAGTTGCTTGCTAGATACGTTTTTTTTTATTTTAAGTTTTGCTTTTGCAAAACAAAGTGAGAAGATCCCAGTATCTTTTTAGTAGCCAGCAGCCTCAATGCAGAATCCTCTTTATCTGCACTATCCCCTAGGCCAGTCATTTCTTTACCTCAAGATACGTTATGGGTGGTAAAGTTTTAATATGGAACTTACCATCCACTCCTCCTATCTGGGTCTCCTGAGCATCATTTATGCCCACATTGTCCTTCGCTCCATAATCTGCGGCATTCTCAAATTCTGACATGCTAATATTTGTTCGGTAGCTTCCAACCGAAACCAAATCTGTTAAAAGGGAGGCAGAGAGCAGACATACACACACAACATTATTTAATACAATGAGCTCCTTTGTTTTATACTTTCAAGGTTTTCTTCAAGCTTTCTGCTACTGCCTGGTTTTTAGAGAGAGACAGCTATAGATCTGAGCACAGGGCTGGGGGAGCGAAAGCTCTAATGCCAGGAAGACATGGCTCTTGTTGCAGCCTCATTTTCCCTGTCTGTAAAATGGGATGGTGGGAGGGTCAATCAGCTAGACGTAAAGTGCTCTGAAGTACAATAATATTATTGAGTCCAGGCCATACATATTATACTTTGCCAACAATGTTTTATGTGGAGTTTCTTTGTTCCGGGGCAAAAAGCTGGGACACTGTTCCCACCATTCCTATATGAGTGCTCTGACGGGGAGGCCCATAGGAGCAGCCCAGACCAGTACAGAGACTGTTGTACATGTCATACACCTTCTACCTCCAAATCTACAGTATTCCCAAAGCTCCCTGGGAGGCTAATAAAGAAAGTTAGGACTCACCTGTGCGCTTCAGGAGCCTAAATTTAACAACCACAAAGGCTGTAGCAAGGAGCAGACACACAGCAGCAATGGGGAGCAGGACTGAGAGAATCACCTTAGAGCTGTCATGTTCCTGAGAGCTGGAAAGGGAGCAATTGAGCAAAACACATGTGTGATCCCTGTGATTTTATATTGCTCTATCCAAGACTGTATAACACAGATGAACCAGCATAGCCTAGAAGATCTATATAGAAAGCTTGTGTACAATTACGTACACAGAAATGCTTAACAATGGCAAAATCATGGATAGCCACTCAAAATTCAGAATTGAGTGGGATTTTTTTAGAACAAAATCATCATTGCATTCACATAGTGATATTCATCTACAGATGTCAGAGCTATTAATAAACAATTAATAAAGCATCTTGACATTCCAATGAGGCAGATAAATATCTTTATCCCCGTTTTGCAGATGGGGTAGTTGAGACACCGATGGGTGAATTGGCTTCTCGCAATCCCAAAGGGAATGAGCGTTCCAGGTTCCTGGACCTCAGTGTACTGTTCTAGCTACGAGAACATGTTGCAACCTTTGTACCAACAGAAGCCTGAGAAGAATGAGTATTTGCCAAATGGCATTATGAGAAATGATGGATAAAAGTCAAAAAAATTGGAGTTCAGAGTGAATAAACCTAAGGAGTTTGGATGATTACCCAAAACTGAGCCAAAATTTTGATATGGGCAAAATTTTGCTGGGAAACATGAATGCACAGTCTCTGACAGTAATTCATACTCATTGGAACTGAACACATCAGAATACATGAAAACTATAAAAAAAAAAGTTTGGTTGTAAAAATGGACACAAGTTGGATGGGGCAGGGGAATTCTTACTCTTTTCCAAACCACTTTGGAACAAAGTCTTTGAGGGACAGACCTGGGTGAAGAGTTGTCATCTAGGACCCCGGCTCTGTTTCGGGAATTAATACTAACTTCAGAGCCTGTGTCGGAAACAGCATTGGAAGAGACTGCAATTTCAGCTTCAAACCGTAGCAGATGGAAGTGGTGGGTTATTTGCATCCAGCATCACGGCAGAGAGAGAGAGAGAGAAAACCCCAATATATTGTCAGCACTTGATTCATAAATAAGACAATTTTCAAAAGCACCTAAATCTCTTTTTCAAAATGTTCCCGTTGATTTTCAATGGAACTTTGTTTCCTAAGTGATATTTTAAAACAGGAGTCACTTGTACCAAATGACCTCATAAGAAAATCTTGAGTGGTCTTCCTAGCCATGTATTAAAAATAGTTTTTAATCCCAAACTGTGTTACTAGTATGCTCCAGAATACGACTCAAATATTTGATATGCTTTTCACCATTTATATTGCATGTTACTTTTCGCATTTCACTCAGCAAGGACACTGCTTCCCTTTCATTTCTAGCCAGTTGCTCTTCCTGGTTCTCATGCATTAGTTAACACAAGGATATTGGGTTTGAGTTTCCAAAAACACATGGTTGTGTTTGCCCCCAACTTCCTCCAACCCTCTATCCCAAGAAAAAATTATCTTTATTTTAAATGTACTGAGATGGAGTTGAGCAATCAAGTTTCCCATCTATAAAATAGTACAATAGTCCTTATTTTCTTGTTCCCTGTGCTCTTCTCTATGTAAACTGTAAGCTTTTGGGGGCAGGGAGTGTCTCTTATGAGCACAAAGGGACCCTGGTCTTGGCCAAGCTTCCTCAGTGCTGCTGTAATATAAATAATAATAAATAAATAATAGGGGGCTGAAATGTAAAAGTGGTGCAGACTCCATTCTTTTTCCAGACTTGTTATAGTGACTGGAAAATGGAAGAATGCTGTAACCAATGCGTGAATGAGAGTTACAGCGATAAACATTGTGAACACCGTGAGATCCTTAGTGAAACAAAGTGTGGTCTGTCCAAGACAAAGGAGATTATGATGTTCTGAAATGCCACCACTTGGTGGTTGTTTCAAGATAGTGCCTCTCAATGGAATGACACCATTATGGGTGAGCATCATGGCTACAGAGAAAACCTTGCCTGTTTTGTCTTGTAATAAATCCTGAAGCTCACCTCCGTTTACTGTCAGGTACACTGCCATGGTTTCCCCATAGCGACCAGAATTGCTCACTCCACACCAATACCACCCTTGGTCTGTCTGTATTACTTGGTCAAAAGTTAGGTAGAGTGTCCTCTTCTCCTTGTCACAATTCACAACCAGGCCGGTTTGGTTTTGCTCAGAGGAGATGAGAGTTTGGCAGCCAGTATTACGCCACTTGCACCAGTATTTCTGGTGAGAATAATATTTGCATGGATAAGAGCATGGTATAGTGACCTGTGTACCAATGACTGCATCAATCTCTTTTGGTCCTGTTAAACCAGGTTGCCCTGTTAGAAGGGAAACAAAAGAGTGAGACTGATTTTGATGACTTGAACAATTAATATTCAGAAGTAATGTTATCAACAAGGTGTTAATAAGAATATATAATTACTATGTAACTACATGGTACAGAATGTATCTATGAGGGTAAACGCACTTTATATTGCTTTTGTAACACTTAAATGTACTATATATGTGTATGGATACATATATCCCTATGTACTTTATAGTGTGTATATATATGGCATTTAAATAGCATTTGTGTCAGAAAAGCTTGAAAAAATAGTGAAAATGTTTGGTGGGAAATTAGTGAAATCTTTGCAAAAAAATTTCAAACATTGTCCAAAAAAAAAAAAGTTTCTGCTGAAATCTTGGACTTTTTGAAAAATTTCCACCAGCTCTAATTTGTACCTTAAAATGTCAAGCTTTACCCATTACAATTATGAAGCTAAGAATCAGAAAATAGTTCTCCTCAGGAAAGCGAGGCTCTGCTCTTTGATGCTGCTTTGGGAGGAACAAAGATCAGGTACCCGTATCGCTTGTGCTGGCAGAGACACTCATCACTACATGTGCTTTCATACCTTCTATAATCTTCAGCTCCTTTGTAGATTTCCTTTCCATATCTCCATCCGCCATACACCAGTAATATCCTGCATCCGCTGCTGTCAGCCGGTTCATTATTACCGTGAATGTTCCATTTTCCGGGTTATCATGCAGGACTATCCTTCCTTCATATGAATCTATCATACTTGCAAGGTTGTTTATTAACTGACTGCACCCATTCTTCCTCCATTTGCACCAGTATTTGAGTGTGTAATTCCCACGTGGATCATAGCGGCATTCGACAGATACTGAACCGCCTATGACTCCATTTATTACATGTCGTCCCTGGGGGACAGATGTCTCTGGAGATACAAAATGGAACATGTTCTGTTAGGCTCCTCTCACACATTTCATGTTGTGCTAACATGCACGCTGCGTGTGCCTCATGTGGTTGGTTGGGTCTGTTCCTTATAAAAAAACATTTTAAAGTAAAGTTAATTGCAGGGATGAAATATAACAGACTGACAATGCTGGCGCCTGCAGAACAGAACCATCACAGCATGGTCAGAGAGAGCTCACGTTTCCCTCACACACTGCCTCCTGCCAGCCCCCAGTGAAATAATGGGAGTCTTTCCCCTGACTTCTGTGGACTTTGGATCTGGCCCTTGTGCCTCAATCCTGAACTGGAGGGACCCCCCCTAGAAGCCAGAGAGTAGTTCAATCCTCCACAGACCTGTCAAGAGAGCCAGCAAGGACACCAACGATAATGGGCATTTCCTTGTTGATTAAGGTTTAACATGAATGGTTCATGAGAAGTTTTGGTGTCCCCTTCACTTGGAACCTGTGGAGAAACCTGGGGCACAATGGCATGGCATCAGGCCAAACAATGTCTTCTCCACGCATCTGGGAATCCAAACACAAGTGGAACAATAGGAGCCACACATACCTCAAGAGGAACAGCAGCCACTTAAGGCAAGTCTACACAAGCTCTGCATTGGCGCAGCTGTGCCGCTGAAGCGTATCAAGTGAAGATGGAAGACGTGCTCTCCCGTTGTTATAATTACTCCACCTTGGCAAGAGGCGTAAGCTATGGCGGCAGGAGAGTGTTTCCTGACAACATACCACTTGTGTCACTTGGGGGGTGGGAGTGGTGAATTTTTCACACCCCTGAGCATCATAAGTTAAATCGACTTAAGCGGTAGTGTAGACCTGCCCTAAGATTATTGGTGCATCCAACTGAGCATAGAAATACCTTTGTCTTATTGCCTGTAGCATCTGCTCTTTGCACTTGTGCTTCGGAAACTAATCCAGAATGAAGCAATGAGGCTAATTTGCAGCAGGCAGATTATGCAAAGGGAGATCAATTCTAATAGGCAGTAGTCTCCCAAAGAAAGTGGTGGAAGCCCCATCGTGGGAGACATTTAAAACTAGACAGGAGAATAGACTGTAGGGAGCTACCCTGGGATGGCTGAGGGGCTAAACTGTATGGGCTCTGACCGGCTCCTACCTTTTCTAAATTCTGTAGTTCTTTCTCTTCATCTTGGATCAATATTTCTAAAAATTGCTTAGGCAGGCAGCCTTGTGGTCAGGAAAATGTGTCTGGGTTTTTTTTCTTCTATAGTCTGCATTTGAGATAAGCCAGTTAACTGGATCAAGCAGGAGTTTGCTCACCCCAATTCTGTAAAGAGAATTTGCCTTTTGCACGTGTCATCATGACCTTCTCTAAAGGCTGGCTCACACAGAGGGTTACAGCCTATCACAGCTGCCTACTAATGGAGTTACTTCTTCAACTCAAGTGATAGTTTTTCTGATGAAGGCTCAAGTTTAAACCCCTGCTGTCAACAGACAATGGACATTGCAACATAGAGTCTTTGGGAGAGGGATTTTTGTCTTCTTTTTTGTCTGTGGACGCACATAAGACACCGTTGGTAGCTAAATAGATGAAAACATAAAAGAATAACAAGTACACTTCTTGTTCTCTCTAGATAAAATTAAGAGTATCAGTGAGATTTTCAAGGGAAACTCAGACCCTTTGTAAATAAAATATTAGTCTCTTCAGACTGTTGGAATGGCTGAAATCTACACACCCTGGCCATCGCTCACCTTGGTAGACATGCACATCCAGTTCCTTGGATTCTCCTTTCTCTCCGTAAGTCCCAGCCCCACACAAATATACACCCGAATCTTCCTTCCTCAGCTGGGTCATATAGAGGCTGAATGACCCAGCAGGCTCCTGAGGGCTCAGCAAAACTCTCCCTTTGTAGTTTTCGTTAACGTTCCCGTAGGTGTCGATGACAGTAGAGCAGCCGGTTTTCCCCATTCTGCACATGTACTTCCTCTCACTGCCATATTCCGGGCCAAACACGCAGTTGATGGTCACAGAACCTCCCAGCTCAACGTAATAGAGTTCGGCTTCTTCAGGCACTTTTGGATCTGTGTGAATGATAGTCCAAGTCAGTATCCAGAACCCAGATTGTATTGCAGTTTACAACACGCTTCTATACCATGCCCTATTGCACTTCAGTAATCATACTCTTCTATACTTCTTTATACTACCCCAGACTGTACCATAGCCTACTCCAGTATAGTATACCTTACTGGACCATACCTCTATACACATTACCATACTTTTCAACCCTGCATCATTTTGTACCAGGCCACCCCATATGCACTGCATTGCAGGATATCTTAATGCACCATGCTACTGTGCACCATATCATATGTGTCTACGCTATGTCATAGGGCACTATTTACTCTCCCATACTACAGTAGACCATGTCGTGTCATGTACTATGCTATGCTGCACCACATGATCGCATATGGTGTTGTAAATTACAAACAACCTTTATTTTTGCTGAGTTAGCCCCTTCCACTCAGGAGAGTAGATAAATCAAGGACTGGTGGAGAATTTTGGCTGCTGTGAACAGAATTAGTGTATATCTCCTATTTTATATGGTACCTTTACATTATAGCAATGGGGGTGCTAGAAATGCAGAGATCTTGGTTATTACTCAAGGTACCAATCACCTTGCTCTCTTGGATATTGTCGATGGGGATAGATTTCCTAAACACAATTATTACAAAAGAAAAATAATATAAGAACCCCCAGGCTGTAGCTACCCTTGGAAACATCCAGCTTGACTCTGAAGGAAAGTCCTTTATCATTGAGACCAATGCCACATTTATAAAAGCTGATGTCCTTTTCCACTAGCTTTGAGATCTCAATGGTGAAGATGCCTTGCTCTGGGAAGTCTGTGATTGTCGCTCTGCCCGTGAAGTCTTGAGCAGTGTAGCCACTGGAAGAAATGACGGTCACACATTGCCTTGTTGATTCCTTGCACCAGTATTTTCTGTCGTGGCGGTTCACACTGGTGTGAGGGTAGAAGCATTTCACAGTAACTGATCCTCCCTGCAAACCAGTCACCTGCCTCGGTCCGAAGATGGGGCTTGAATTTAAAACTGGCAAGAGGAAACGTGTTTCATGTTATTCACTACAAATCAAGTTATTATTACACGAGCACCTTCAGGCCCCAATGGAGATCAGGGCTTCACTGAGCTAGGCACATAGCTACAAACACAAAATAAAAGACAATCCCTGCCCCAAAGAGTTTTCAGTCAAAATAGCCAGGACAGACAAAAGGAAAATTAAATGGCTTGCCCAAGGCCACATAAGGAGTCTATGGCAGAGCCAAAAATTAATCTCCTGTGTTCCAGTCTAGTGCCTTAGCCACAAACCTCAATTTGTTTCTGAAAGCGCTGTGAAATTTCTGTGGCAATACAGAGTGGCAATACAGAGTGGTAGTTACTTGTGATGGTTCATCCAAACCAGTTTAAGTAAGAACCAATTCAAACCTTCATGCCAAACTTGAAATGAACCTCACTGTTTTAGCTCACTTGGCTTTTTAACATTCTTTTAATGTTCTTGCAACCTTGGATTTTGAATCATAGGCAGAAATATTAAATAGTTGTGAAAATAGTCACTGTTCTAATTATTCCATCCTGGCTCAAACCAGCATAGAGCTGAAATCTTGCAAAGCAGTGGGTCCCTGTCAGAGCTAGGCAACTCTTCCTTAATGATGGTTTCATCTGCTAGTTTTGTTGCAAACCCAAAACTCAGGTTTTGCCCATAGTTTCACTGAGTTTCAAGAACTTTTGAGGGGTTGGGGGGCCTGAATTTGCAGAGGTCCCTGGGGCTGATTTTATCTTTTAAAAGAAACAATGCTGAACATGATGGGTATTATATTATTTTGGGCCAAACCCAGGCAAATTGATTGGGCTAAGCTTTACACTGAAATTTTAGGTCCACTTGAACCCAAAACTCAAAATGAAACTCGGGCTGTGGAATCCAAACAACAAAATTGAGGAAAGGTTTCTGTGAGCCCCCAGGAACAAATACTGCAGTGCATCACACAGCTCTTGTTCCTAGGAGATTTCAGACGAAATACCACACCAATGAGAAAAAGACCAAGGAATGGGAAAGCCAGGAAATCTGATATATCAGCTGACTTGCCTGTAGTCTGAATGGTCTCAAGAGATCAGCAAGGGCTATAAAGAACATTCATCTATTTGGTCATAACTATGTATTCGCTGATAGCGACTATATAAGATTAGCCTTACACTGACTGTGCTAAACATCGACACATCTCTCACACTCTTGATTAGATACTTACTTCTTGCAGACTGAGCTTGGAGGAAGGAGAGCAAGAAGATGAACATCAAGAAAGTCATTTTCCTTTCAGATGCCTGGTTCCCCAACCTCTCCTGAAATCTGTAAATAACCACATTCAGAAGGTCACAGTATTTATTTAGTTGGATATTTAAAAATTTTTAAAACCACCTACTGAACTGGTCCATGATACAAACACCCTGAGTCATGTGTTCAGCCACGTGCATGGAGTGTTACCAGAAACATAGGCCTATAGCCATTTGTACTAACGGAAAAACAGTGTGATCTAGGGGTCACAGCAGGCAACTGGAACTCAGAGTTCTTGTGTTCTTGGCTCTACCATTGACTTATTATGTGATTAGAAATAGGTCACCTAATATCCATGGACCATAGTTTTTTTCTTAGTAAAATGGGGTGTCAGGTTGTTTGGGGTGCAATCCAGACCAGTGAGGGGTTGAGTCACTACCTGCCTCATAACCGTAGGTGCCTCAAATGCTATGCTACTGTAACTCCCTGCCTGGGATGTTCAGTCAGCAGCAAGCATGCCGGTCACACCCTGAGTGTCTCTATAACGGCAGCTCTGATCCAGCAACTCTGAACCCAGCAGTCTGCCAGCAGCACATCAGTCACATTCCTGGTCTCTATCAGCCTTGGTTACTACCTGTAGAGTGGCCTCAGCACACTCCCAGTCCTGAATTTTCCAAAATCGTGTGCTCTGTAATGTCCAGTCCCCTCCTGGGCAGTTCAGAAAAAATAATGTTTATTTTTTCCCTCTAAAGTCACTTCACTGGGGCAAATACACCCTGCATTAGTTTATCGTAAAAAACCCAAATGTATTAACAACAGGACATAGGATAAATGATGCCAAGTAAAAGCAATAGAGTTTGAAAGGGTTACCAACAAACACAAGTGAAAAAACACATATCTAAAAGACTAAAACTTGATCTATCAAGGTACAGGCTTTATTTAAAATGTTTTGTCTCACCAATCCTTCTCCTTCCCAGCCATGGCTGTTTTTTCCTCTATCAGGACCTTCCACAGAAGTCCAAGAGACTGGCTTCCCTTGTCTTCCTAGGTGAAAGATGTTTGCCTAAGTGGCATTCAGTTCCTAGAGACTTCACCCCCACCTTGTTGAAGCACCCATCCTTCTCAGCTCACAAAAACTCTGTCCCCTTTTGTCTGTACTCTCATATCTCTGCTTATATCTCCCAAAATTTAATGACGTTGCTTCAAGAGGCAGGATGACTTCATTCTTCCCTTCCTGTGGGCTTTCCATTTCCCTGTATGTAAACAGAACTTCCATTGTCTTGATTCCACCATGCTTAGTTTACATAGGAGACAGGCAAATAGCTGTTACGTTCCCTCCTGTACGGGAGAGACGTGTTTCTCCCTTTGTTTGGACATAGACTGTAAAGCCTTATATCAATAAGTATCCATAATTCCTTAACATCCATAAGTGTTAATACATACATTTTATGATGATATTAAACACCAGTGTGTCATTAGTTTTCATAAACACCTATTTGATACACTTTAATAATACAATAATATTGTATACAATCAGTTGATTCAGTTGCTTATCACTTGAGGTTCAGCCCCCTGTCTTTATAGATCAGTAAACTTTCACAATGTAGTCTCTGGAAAGTAAAAACCCAGAACAAGCTTCTCTCTCCTTCTGGGGGTGGGCATAGAGGTTCTACTGTCTCCTTGCCCACTTGATAGATTTATTTACCTGTGTGATGGGGTGTCCCCCACCCCCCACAACACGTACCCTGAAGGGGTTAATGGAGCCCAGATAGGCCAATTAACCTATTAGGCTGAAGGCTGGAGGAAAGCTCTAAGTAGGGGAAGCTCACCTGTGCAGGAACAGGAGGGCTTCTATAAAGCCAGGGAGCTGAGAGCAGGGAGGGGACTGTAAGGAGGTAGTCTGCAGTAACTCCCTTGGATTTGGGGGCTATAGAGACAAGTAGCCCATGGTGACTCCCTAGGAGGAGGGAATAGAGAGGCTGGTAAACCCCAGAGATGGGGGAGTGCCAGGGTAAGAAGCAGCCTAGTGAGTAAGCAGCAAGGTTGGGGACTCAACTGACCTTGGTTGTGTGTGGTAGGGTGTGTGGTTGTGTGTAGCTGGGACCCAGAGTAGAGGGTGGGCCTGCGTTCCCTTACCTGCCACTGGGGAAGTGGCACTGGTGAGGCAGTGACTGGAAGACTGCCTGGGTCACTGTGCGAGTGACAGAGACTTTGAAGAACTGTCTCCTGGAAGGGGAGAACACCAAGTGACCTGGCTGGAGGGCCGAGTCACAGAGAGGATACGGCAACTCCTGGAGCAAGAAAGAGGCTGCAGACCAGATTGAGAGAGGGAGTGACGGCATGCCACCGAGGAAGTGGCATTGTTTCTGGTGAGCTATTCCCCAGAACAGCCAGGAGGAGGTGCCAGACCTGTGGTGAGTGAGTGCCCATCACAAACTGATATGTAAAAATGGGCCTTCATTGTCTCTGCCTGAAGACAGGCTGGTCAGAGAATCAAGTGGCCATTCCGTTGTCTAAGGTACATTGTGCTTAAGCGTTGCTAGCCATGCACATTTTAAGACTATAATTTTAGCACATGGTCATAACATTTTGCACAAACCCTGTGTATACATCATACAAGAATATTAATGCTCGGCAAATTACTGGTTTTCCAGTGATACCTTACCTGACATCTTTTTAGGTACAGATTGTAACCATAGTTGAGTTGGGGTACACTGCATTGGTCAGGCCAGCTGAAACTCCTAGCCTGATACCATTAGGCCTCTAGCTATCTGGCATCAGGATGTTCTTAAAGTCATGTGGGGATAATCATAGTAACCTGTCTCCCGTGGGGTATTGCTATGCTAAATGAATTAATGTCTGTTAAATTCTGTATCGTCTTTGCATAAAAGTCACTATAGTCTGTAGGCCTGCTTTCAGAAAGATTGCTTGCAAAGGTCTGATTTCCATCCATTAGAGGGCAGTGGTATCATACAGAAAGTACCATCTAGTGCATATTTCCTGTCTATGGTACAATGGCATTCTAAAACAATCCAGTCTGGGCAGTGTTAGCACATGAGTTTCTGTAAGAATGAAATGAATTATATGAGAATAAATGTACAGTAGATCTCTGCCCAGTGGAAGGTTTCCATGGATAATTTACTCTGGAGGACCAGGCTTGGACCACAGCATTCCACAATATGACGTTAATTATTTTTGACTCTTGGTACAATCTTGGTTTGGAGAATGGATTCATCCGGTGGTGGTCTCTGTTCTGGAGACACTCTCTGTACAGAGAATGAGTCAGACACCTGGATTCTGTAACCCTGAACAGTCTGTAAAAGCCAATAGTTTTCTACAACAGTTCAGTATTTGTAAGGCATAGTCTTACATTCAGGATGGCAGCCTGCACTATGGAATTTCCTTGCTTCATGTTCCCTTCTGCCCCCTGAGTTCTCTTGTTATGAAGGTCACCTCAAACCTACTCTGTGTGTGTGTGTGGACATCATTATGCTAAACCACTGCTCAGAGCAAAGTATTAGGGCTTGTCGACACTTACAGCGTTGCAGCTGTGAAGATGCTACCTACACCGACCGGGAGCGGCTCTCCTATCAGCACAATTATTCCACCTCCCTGAGAGGCAGTAGCTATATCAACAGGAGAAGCCCTCCCGTCGACATAGCGCTGACCACAGCAGGCTCAGTTGAGTCAGTATAACTTCATCGCTCAGGGATGTCGATTTTCCACACCCCTTGCTGATGTACTTACACTGACATAAGTTTGTAGTGTGTACCAGGGCTCAGTCTTCTCCAGATGAGAAATGGGCCTGATCTAACCCCCTACCCCAGGTTTTAGGTTTTAAAAATCCAAAGCAAAATCCGGACCCACACTCCTAGCCTTATTATGGGCTGAATGCAAACCTAGATCCAAACACCCCTGAACTTTGAAGGGGCAGGGGGAGGCATGAGTAAGAAAGCCAGACTGGGATCTGGATCCAAACTCTTCAACTTGGGCCCATTTCGGAACAAAGCCCCTTTTCAAGAGTTTGGTGCCTCAGTTTCTCCCTTCTGCTTTTTAACTTTAATCACCCAGCAGGAAGAAAGATTGCTCACTTGGCATCACATTGGTTGCCAAAACCATGCCTTAAAAACCTGCTTCCATAGCTCCCGTAAGACTATATTTGATTTCTGACCATTGTTCTTCTGCCCTTTTCAATCACAGATGCAGATCTAAACAAAGTTTTTCCTCTTCCTTCCCCCCCCCACCACCACCGCAACTGCTGTTAAGTCAATGGGAGATGCAGGTACTCAACATCTTTGAGAATTAGACTTAAACTGCAGAGTACTTGTCACACCCCATCTATCATAATGTATCCACTGCTACACAGCATCCAGCCAGGGGAAGACAGATTAGGTCCCCCAAAATGAAACCAGGTGTCAAGGATCAAAATTCCAAACACTGGGGCATTAAAACTCTCCTAATCAAACTGTGCACATCTTAATCTGAGTCTGTCTATAATTCATGTTTCAGAGTAACAGCCGTGTTAGTCTATATTCGCAAAAAGAAAAGGAGTACTTGTGGCACCTTAGAGATTTAACCAATTTATTTGAGCATGAGCTTTCGTTTCTCAAACCTTCATATGTCCCAAATCTTTAATGGTTTGGATGGGCTTTTGAGTGATGGGCTGGAAGGAACTGGGGTTCTTAATATTTTAAACCTGCTTGCCTATCACTGAATTATTGAGAGCACTGGATTGTGTGTGTGTGTGTGCAATGCATGATCAGTGACCCATCAAATAATCCAGGGAGCGGTGGTGTTTGATTGTTCAGTTACCGAGAATACGATGGGTTACCAGAAAAGTTGTGCAAATAGCCAGACTGGTTTGTTCTCTGGGCATCAGGTGACAGGATTAATTTTATAAGGGGTATTTCCCAGCAAAGAGAGGGTTTTATTTCCTCCTTCAGATAAAAGGTGTTCTGTTGTGCTTTCTTTCTCTTGCTGAGATATCTAATTGTTCAATGGCTACTTGGTTGTAGCAAATAATTAACTCCTGGAGCATGAAAAATGCCCTTAACTGGTCACCCCCAGAAGAAGCT